AAAAAAATTATATTAACCTTATAAACCAATATTCTTGACGCTACTTTTAAAACTACAGTATTAAGATCGATAGGCTGGTGTACTTTAGTAGGAAGCTTATTCCAAAGACTGGCAGCGATATAGCTAAAAGACTTTTTCCTCCACTGCAGATTAATTGTAGGGAGTGTGAGGATGTAGCCGTCTCTTCTTAAATTATAACTTGTTTTATTTAAATTTTAAAAAAATCCTTATATATGAAGGGCCATTACTAAATAAACATTCATACAATAATTTATGCAATTCATAGTTAAGAAATCGTCGAAAATTGAAAACTGCCGGGTATACACTTATTTCCATGAAATARGCTCTTTGCAGTTAACGGTCACGTGTCTGTACTGGACTGCAAAAYTTTTGTTTTTATATTAAATTGGTAATTTTTTTTTTGCTACTTGTAAAGAACTGAATGAAAACATGTGTCTCCAGTGTGTTACCAAATGCAGTTTTATTACGATCTCTCGAAACAGGTTGTAGAAAGTTTGTTTGCAGTCCAGTAAATTTCACCCTTGGGAATCAAGATGTTCATTCATTTGCTCTCAGTGAATTAATCAGCACGTGATTGCTTAGCTGTTAAGGGCCTATTAGTCACCTGAAAAGCTACACAGCTGAGACCGACATGGGTTATGTGTAGATACATTTTACATGTTTCAACCGCTTGATAACTGTTGATGGACTTGAGATCTTCTACCAGTTACAAGTTAACCTCCTCTGAGCATCCTCAACTGCTGCAGTTTTTGTCAAAAGCTTTACTCGTTGGATATGAAATATTTCCCATGATTCTCAGCGATCACAGCTTTCTAGGGTTTTGGTGACTAACTTTATTGAAATAAGTTTATAATCCTTGCCTCACAGTCTGTAATCATAAGGAATTTTTTAAGGTATGACGAAGAGAGTCGTTCGTATTCCGTGCTGAGGAAAGACCAAAACGTCAAATTGAACTGATTTATTTGGTGAAATTTATTACTCGACAAAACCCTTTCAAACCTCTTGATGTCAGTATCGTGTCTAATTTTATGCCCATAACCTATCTCCTATTTAACCCTATCTCCTCTGTTTTTATAAAAAACTATATATATATCGATCGAGATTGACAGCTTATGTCATTTTTTCACCAGACAAGGGATGGATGCAAAATTTTACAGCCAACGTAACCTCAGGACAGTGTAGCAAGCGCACGGTGGTAATGACCAAAACAAATGGTGTGCTACGCTCCCCAGGGTACCCCCGTGGGTACGCCAAAGACCAACGCTGTACATGGCACATTGGTGTTCCACGCGGGTTTAGAATTCGTCTGAGGTTTCGCCGTCAGTTTCAGATACAAACTTCCGCYGGATGTACCAAGGATCGCGTGATGCTTGCGCAGTCCAAGCAGTTTAGGAATCCGCTAATATTTTGCGGTAACAGCAGACCTAATGGATTGTTAATACCCAGCAACAATCTGTGGGTTCGGTTTGAGTCTGACAGTAAGGGTTCTGCTAAGGGATTCTTTGCTTCATACACTGCGGTTGGTAAGTATTTCTTCCTGTTTAGCTTGGTTTTATCTTATATCTTGCAATACTTTCCGTAAAAGGCTCTTTCACCGCTATTTGCAAAACATAATTATCAACTTACATGATTCTTAAGGGGAAAGTGGGAGGGGGAAAAGGGTACCGGGCAGGAAAATATGAAAAATCCCCCGGGGCAATTGCAAGGGAGAGAACAAGAAAGAGAACAACACATGAAACGAACCAGGTATGAATTACACAAGGACAAGAGAAGGAGTCTAGCGCCTAGAGTCTAGCCTATTATAGCCTTATTAGAATCATCATAAGGCTGTGACTCATAAACTTGTGTTGAACAAGAATGTTGGTTCGTGATGTCCGAGTCGTCTAAGAAGTCAAGATGAAGTGTACATGAACAAGTGCACGACCTACATGGCCGTAACCAGGGGGGTGCATGATCAAGTGCACGACCTACATGGCCTAACCAGGGGGGTGCATGATCAAGTGCACGACCTACATGGCCGTAACCAGTGGGTGCATGATCAAGTACACGACCTACATGGCCGTAACCAGGGGGGTGCATGATCAAGTACACGACCACACGACCTCCATGGCCTAACCAGGGGGGTGCATGATCAAGTGCACGACCTACATGGCCTAACCAGGGAGGTGCATGATCAAGTACACGACCTACATAGCCATAACCAGGGGGGGTGTATGATCAAGTGCACGACCTACATGGCCGTAACCAGGGGGTGCATGATCAAGTGCACGACCTACATGGCCGTAACCAGTGGGTGCATGATCAAGTACACGACCTACATGGCCGTAACCAGTGGGTGCATGATCAAGTACGCGACCTACATGGCCATAACCAGGGGGGTGTATGATCAAGTACACGACCTACATGGCCGTAACCAGGGAGGTGCATAATCAAGTACACGACCTACATGGCCGTAACCAAGGGAGTGGATTGGGTGCATGTTAGTTCCGTCCCTGACCAATAGACTTTCATTTCTCTACGTACAGATGAAAACGAATGTGAAAAACCTGTTTGTACATTCCCGAGTCTTTGTCGTAACATGGTGGGTAGTTATGCGTGTGACTGTCCTTACGGGTACGGTAACAAAGGAGGACGAAGGTCGACAAAGTGCATAGGTAAGACAAAGAAGAAACTTTGCTTTGTGATTGTCTGATTGTGAGGTGTATGAATACCATGCACTTAAAGTCATTTGTAGCAATTTCGCGRGAAACGAAGAAAAATAATGTATAAATTTTAAAATGTAAATCAATGTACGTAATGCTTGTACACTTCGCGCATTTCATTTTTCATGAACCTTTTCCTCATGATTTCAAATCATATATATCTCCCTTATGCATTATTGCTTCTTTGAGGTTCAAATATCGGGCCTGGGCTGCTTGTCCCTTCTGCTGTCAACCGGAAACTTAATCTTGACGTAACTTTTATTGCGCAATCACTGAACTGGAATATCGAAACTAGGCTATTCCCCTAAAATAAGGAACGTCAGTGGCGGATCCAGGGATTTCAAAAAGGGGGTAACGATTACAAGGGGTTTACCAGGAATGCGAGGAAAAGGGGGTGGCTAGCCACTCATCCCCTTAACCACCCCTGGATCTGCCCCTGGGAACGTGTCTGTGATTTTTGTTCTACTCAAGCCCATGAATTATCTTTACAATTATTATTGAACATAGATTTGATATTAGAACGTTTTTGTGTCATTTTTTTAACAGATATTGATGAATGTAAARTAGGAACAGCTCGTTGTGATCATACGTGTGTCAATACAGACGGTAGTTATTATTGCATGTGTAGAAAGGGCTATCGACTGGCTTCTGATGGCAAACGATGCCGAGGTAATATGTTATAGAATAGGAATAAGAGATGATTTTCACTGTTTTTCTCTTATCTTTCCTCTTGTGTTTTATCTTTTATCGTTTTTCTGTCTTAACTCTTTTTTCTTTTTGGCTTACTTTAGCTTTTGTACTCTTTTTTCTCTTTTATCATTTTCGTTGTTTTCTTTTTCTTTTCCTTCGCCTTTCCTTTTTGATCTGTTTTTCTATCTGTCTCTTCTTTTCTTCTTTTAGCAGACATGAATGAGTGCCAGCAAGGAATTGCAGGTTGCAGTCACTACTGCCGCAACACGCGATCTTCCTTCCGTTGTTCCTGTCCCGCAGGATATRTTCTCCACACCGACAAGAAAACCTGCTTTCCTGGTAAGTTGATTCATCCACTAGAAACTGTTGGTGAAAACTCATTTAATCAGGTTATCGAAAATTATACTGAATAGACTGGTCTATACCATACAATGATTAAAACTATTTAGCATATAATACTTCGAGCTTTTGACTCCACTGGAGTCTTGATCGCAATCAATGAATGTAGGGCGGCACGATTCCCTGCCGTCACGTGGTCCAACAGCATGTGACTGCAGCAGAGCATAACATTTCATTCATTTCATTCGTTCAAAAATCGAAAGTACAAAGTATGCTTAATAGTGCTTAACCCACCAACCCACCGACCCACCGACCCACCGACCCACCGACCCACCG